TTTTGGGACACTGTACAATCTTGGATCCATTTTCGGATAAGGTGTCCCTCTGACCTACCTCCCCGCATCCGGCTCTACTAGTGCAGTAGTGAGACCCCCGGTCATCTTATCAGACTAGGGTGTACACATGACCGAATGTCTGGGGACCAGAAGTACCAAAGCTTGTTGCTTGTCAGAGGAATTTCTGTGCCTGGTTAGTTCTTTCATTTGATATGATGGCTGTAGGCTCAGACCACCCATGACCATACCCGAGTGATAGGATTAGCAGAAGTTGTCTCAGCCAGATCTTGCAATGATTTTTTGAGACCAGTCTACTCTTAATAAACCCTAAGAAAAGGCGCTAAAGAACGAATATGCGAACCGGGGGATATATATCTTCAAACAGCTAACTTCGGAAATTAAGCGAAACTCCTTAAACTCCGAAGGAACACTCTCTCCTTTCAAATCATAGCCCCGGGATTTCGTAATGATCTAGAAGACTCTGGCTATCTCCTTGTCCTCCGTGGCACCGCAAACCAATCAGCATATTCCTAACATCATAGGATGTGAAAGAAACGGAGAATCTCCCCTACTCGATTCCCCATGGTAAAGGGTATCAACAGGACCAAAACCCCATTCCCTGTGCCCAATCAAGATAGGAGGAAAGCAGGGAAACTGCTGGCCTATGCTTCCTCCTCGTATCGCAAACCGGCAGACCCTATCTGAGGGTATCTCCTAACCGCATCTAGGCTAGATTTAGCATGAGGTTTTAGATCATAGAAAACGTGATTTTGATTTTGAATCGGTGTGCACTGGGGCGCGAGAAGGTTCTTGGGCCAGAATACCGCGAAAGCTTAGTAAGCAAATGTCTGAAAATGATGGGAGTGATGAGTGAGAAGCAGTGGCGGACCACGGAACCACTTGTTACGAGCAAGAGATACTTATGTGTCGGGGAAGTGTTGTAAAATTTACCCTCATGTCACCTTTTATTTTCTCTGGTTTCCGGTCTCGTTTTGGAGTACATTTGTTAATTTTCATAGCTCATTATCTCTTGTGCTCTCTGACCTCGCACGATCCTGGTAGCTACTCTTTCACCCCGCGGAACTACAAGACGTTACTCGCTGGTCAATGCCCTAATCAATCATCCCACGGGTGTGTAAGTGTGAAAGCAGGATCAGGGTTATCCCCGGACCAATATTCCACAACCCGCCCATGCTGTCACGATATCACATAAAGTAAGATCGATTAGAGTCGATCCCTTGCCGGGCATTTGATGCGCCTGGAATAGGTCTTGAACTATATCGTGACAGAATTCTACTAACTGTTGCTGATCCAACTAAGCTTGTTTCCAAAGAAAGATAATTATATCCAGCAAGAAACCACTACTCCTGGTGCTCTAGAGGTCAAGGAGGGAGCCGTGGACCCCAACTATCCTACCATGTCCAGCACCCATAACCGGCACGGCTTTTGGGTGGTACCCAGAGTTGGCCTGGCTTAGTGCCCTATCGTACTGGGATTACGAGTGATAGTCTATGATTGCTACACTTCACGATGATTTCAGGACGTATAATTTATATACATTGACTTAGATCAAACAGATCACTCGTGTATGTATCGATGGCTTCTGCAGGGAAGTTCCTACAAGGGGCGATATGTTCCCCTCGTCATGATTTCTCATGTGGGTTAAAGTTGCAAGATCCCCCGCTGCAGAACCTGGTCTAAATCCAGCATGTGAGCTTATATGCTTGCCCAAACAGATGTGCATCCAACCTGACTTTCGGGGTTAAAAAAAGGAAACATTTCCCGATGCGGAATTGCAATGAAGGGCTCTTGTTGAGAAACGCGGTTGAGGAGATGGTAGGAGGAAAACGGATGCAGGGTTCAGGATGATACCGAGATGGTCGAAGAAAATTAGAGAATACCTGTTAACGTGGGGGTAATTTACATTTATCGGGTGTTCATTTCGGGAAGATGTCGTGCCAGATGAGCTGGCCCAGAATCAGCACTACTCTCATCTCTTCAAACTTGGTGGAAATGCTATTTGATTCCATCACTGTCAGTGAAGCTACCTTCGGGGATTTGATTGGGTGGGAAGGTTATTGGAGATAGCAGCAGTGCGAGTTTTTGGTGCTTGACGATATTTGCTGGCATTTTCCGATAAGTGTTACCAAAATACATACAAACTATAATTCTCTGGACATGTCAAGGTCTTCCGTCGCTGGAAGGCTTTCATAAAGCCTATATGCTTAGGAATTTCCAGGCTTACGAAGCCGAGGTGAGTCTGGCTTTGGCCTTCTCCGGCCGCGCGGCGTACCTGTCCTCTATAGGCATCAACTGGTAGGCAGAGCGGCTTGTGTCACCTTGCGAATGCTGACCATACAAATTACTAGCACCCCTGCGCTCGACACACCAGAAGGCGGCAAGAAGGCACTTATTGGACAGGAAACGCCCGGCTGTTCACCTCGTATAAGTTCATCCGTCCTAACTCGATGACTAAGAGAATAGTGAAGGAACCCTGCATGGATTTCTTAGTCAGCATCCATGACCTGATCCAACCCTTATCTCTGGCCTTGCTCTACGCGTACAGTACCCATCTATGTCCGGGTAAGTTATCTAGAGATTGCATGGCATGATTTTTCCCCTCAATAGAAGCCACGACAACTAAACACCATTGACCTCTGACTTCATTACCGCATTATCTAGCGAGAACCCGCAGACGCCTTTACGTCCAAATAAGAGGCCGCTCTGGTGAAACTGAAAATTGCGCCGAAATCAGAGCCCCGGAAGGATTGGTCTTGGTAGTGAGGAGTTGGATATGGAGTTTTGCTGCGCTTCCGAGGCAAAGCAAGGATCGGGGGCGTATTTGGATGTGCGGTACCAGTGCCTGACGGTTCTCACTACCGGTAATTTAGATAACGCAGTGTATCACCTACTGGGCTGCCTATCCATTCCCAACGTCTTACGTTGACACCCGACCCCGGTCCATGGTAGTAATGGACCTCGCGGATTCGGTTGCGCTTTTACTTCGGCCATACCCTTATACTGTAATACCCTCCGGCTAAGTCCTTCTATCCGGAAATTTTCCAACCGGCACGAAGGCAGCCTAATCCTCGCCCGTATTACTACAAACACCCTCCCCTTTAGGTTGACCCTCCACGTCGCCGGCAGCACCCCGGGAGAACCGCTAATCCTGCGGTAATGGAGTATTTTATGGTGAGGTATGGAGGACGGAGCTGAAGCGCTCTGGAAGTCCGGCCGCAATGTTTGGTGAAGGACAAAAAGGACCAATTCTCATTACTTACTTTTTAATTTAAATCACTTCGTTCATATCTATGGACTCTATGAATCGGTCTTGGGTCCATTCTCGGGTAAGATCTCTCGGCGACTGATCTCCCCACATATTAACCCACCAGTATACTAGGTAGGGAATCCGGTACCCCGACATCCTATTGCACTCGGGTATGGACGCAAGTGGCCGGGCAGCCCGAGGTTTGATTAGAGTTATTAAAGCTCCTTACTCGTCATAGCAACCTTTATGCTAAGTTGGCTCTTTCATTTCCTATGATGGCAGTATGCTTTAGCCTCCCTATTCTCTTAGCTGTCCGGTCTCCCACATCCCTACCCTAGTAACAGAATTGGCATGGATTGTTTCGGCCAGATCTCGCAATAAATTTTTAAGATCCTCGTAATGTTGGTAAAACGTAAAGGAAGACACTGAAGAGTAGAGCAGTGAACCGGGGGATATATATCTCCAAACAACTAAAAAGTCCAGATATATACAAACAAACTGCACAAGTTCTAAACAAATACACCCTTCTTCCAAATCATGATCCTCCGTCATCCTCCCACAATCTAGAACCCTCCGGATATCCTCTTATCCTCCACGGCACCACGAACCGACTACCATGTGCCCAATACCATAGGGTGTGAGACACAAAACAAATACCTATACCCGATAGCTGTAAGTGGGGGTGTTATTGCTAAAGACAGGATTTAGGCCTCGCATCCGGGACAATATTTTGTACTGGTACAATGGCTGCCGCCAAGGTACCTCCACGATACCCCTTTTTATCCGCGAGAACTTTGTGAACGGGACTGGCACAATCTCCGGGGGAGGAGGCCGACCCGATAAAAAATGGGTACCCACTTGGATGTATTTTCTGTGGCAATATAGCGGATTTTTGCCAGAGACTCCAGGTTCTCCTATATCCCTAGATGGCGGGAAGACTTCCAATTGAAACACTCCGCTGCTTTTGCTACACTCTGGTGATGCATTGGGCTGAAGTCTGTCAATGGTTGTGGGGTTTGGGTTGTGACTGCATACAACGAGCTAACCATTTTTAGCATCGGCGCCCGCAGGAGGCATTCAGTGGTATTCCCATTCACCATTAGGATTGGAAATTCCTCCTCCGGGAATATCCACACTGATGCAAGTCCGGAATTTTTCGCAGGCGTCACCGAATTATTATTGGTAACAAGGAGTGAAGGAGTATTGTAGTGTGTTACCTTTCGCTACGGTAGTTATCACTAATTCCGTGCCCCGTAGCTTGATCAATTTCCCGGTAAGATCATGTGAGTGATTCGCCTGGAAGAGGGAGCGCTCTTCTACCGCGAAAGCAAGAGGCTAGTATCTTAGGGATTCTTCCGAGGATGGGCTAAACTACTCTACCGGTGTTTGTATATCGGCATCATTTGATAGCTTCCATGATACCTGATTATGTAAACTATGTTCCGTGAAAAGTCGGCTGATGGAGGGTTCCAAAATGTGTGGCTGCGGGAGGATGGAGAAAGGTTTTCGCTATCATAAAGTTATTGTCGCGTCATGTCTCCCCTGCCGCAGCAAGGCATGCACCAATCACCGGTGACTACCCAAATTGTGACCTCATATTATTAAAGCGATTCCAGTATTGACCAAACTTGCAGCGACCCAACTGTGGCCCGGAAAACTGTGCTGTTTGCTTTTGCCCCGCTGTTTCTCAGCCCGGGTGCCAAAGACTTCGGACTTCTGAAGAGAAAATATCATCCTTCCCCGCTGCCTCCACACGGTGTTGCTCTACTGGAACGCCTACACAACACCCGCATGCCAATCCATTGCAATAGTATTGACCTAGCCTGGCTTATGCCCACACCTGCCTCAAAATTACAGAATTCAGAAGCTCCGTACCCGAGGTTGGGTCCGTGACTACTCGTTCTACCGTACCATATCTCGGTTGTTGACTTGTTTTAGGACCTTGAAAACCAATTTTAAACAACCTCGATAGGTGACAACCAGGTTCGACTTCCCGTTTCAGTGACGCTAGCTGCATCTCGTTGCTTTCACAGCCGACTTTCGAAATCAGTCATAAGGTGAGCCAGAAACACAATGGATCAGTGGGTTCACCCTGCCTTTAATGTCGGCGTAATTGAAAGAAAAAAGAAGTGCATATCTAAGGGTATTCACAGGAGAATCCGAGCCGGAATCTGCGGGGAATTCAGCGGGAATTCAGGGGATCATAATTTCTCGGGTAGTAACAACCAGAATAACCTACATATGGGCCACCTAAACTATGCCGCCAACGTCGGAACAATATATCAAGGATGTACGTTTAGATCTGAGGATAGAGGTATGACCAGCATTCTCGAGAGTTTTCTGCGGGGAGCTAATGTGCTATTGCAAGCGGAAGAAGCATCTAGGCCTTATCAGATGATTCCATACAGCAGGAACCGTAAATTCACAGGCCGCGATCATCTCATTGAGTCGGTAAAGAGGCTTTGCAAGCGTGATGGCCACAACAGGATCGCTCTTCATGGATTAGGAGGCGCTGGGTATGCAGTCATTAATTTTATATCCGGAGCGTTTACTAACATCACTTAGAAAGACCCAGATTGCCCTCGAATACGTTTATCGGCGTGCAAGCGAGGGAGATTGTGACATTTTCTGGGTGCAAGGAAGTGGAGTGTTAAATTTTAGAGAGGGCTTCAGGGCTATCGGGCAACATGTTCGAATTCCTCTAGGTAGCGCTGAGACGGAAGAAGAGGGATTCCTATTGAGTATAAAGAGGTGGTTTGAAGGCCGAGACAGCCGTGATTGGATCCTGGTAATTGACAATGCCGACAACGAGGAGGACTTTGTTAGCAACAATAGTCCCATCGCTAAGTTTGTGCCACAAGGCCCGAGAGGCACGGTAATATTCACCACCAGATCTCGCCAAGTTGCATTTCGGCAAGAGTGCGAGAGGATCGATATTGGAAAAATGGACGAAGATGAGGCCAAGACACTGTTTTTCGAACACTTTGGTAGTTGGGGAAGCTTGAGGAATGGGGAAGAGGAGGTTGTTGCCACGATCCTGAGTTCGGTCGATCACCTGCCGCTGGCTGTTGTGAGCTCTGCAGTTTTCATGGCCGAGACCGAAACACCGCCCACCGACTACTGGATAATTTTCCAGGAGAACGATCAGCGAAGGGTGAAGCTACTTTCACAGCAGTTTAGCGATATCCGCCGCGAGTCAGACGTGACGGGAAGTATTTTGAGCACTTACTTCATCACCTTTGACCGAATTACGAGGCAGATGCAGACTGCCGGCCATCTCTTGCGGCTAATTGCATTCGTTGACCGCCAAAATATCCCCGAGCAGTTCCTGAGAGAATCTGGCGTTGGAGGGGTGGATGATCCGGTTGAATTCCGTCGGGCTATTGGGAAACTATTAGGATTCTCGCTAGTTACCGCCATTAGACACGAGAACAAGACATTTTATGAGCTTCACCACTTGGTCCAGCTATCGATACAGGCCTATTTATCGCCGGAAGAGCTGCATAGATGGAGTGACAACGCACTAGGAATTATTTCTCGAATTTTCCCTAAATATGAGCACGAGCACCGGGATATTTGCGAGTCATTCATTCCACATGCACTTGCGGTAACCGAAGGTAGAATGGATATTATTTCCGAAGATCTTTGTTTCCGCATGGCAGAGTACTTTCTACACTTGGGTTTCTACAACAATGCAGAAGCACAGATCGGTCGATGTATCAGATTCCGCGAGGAGAATAAGGGGCAAGGCTGGGATAAAAGTCATAGGAGATTTATGCTCCTGGGGCGGGTGAGGGCACACCAAGGGAGGGCAGAGGAGGCGGAGGAGATACTTCGGAATGTGCTGGAGGATCTTGGGGGGTTATTGGGTCCGAACGATCCGGACGCCCTGGAGTGCTTATCTTACCTAGCAAGTGTGATGAATGATCTCGGAAAGTACGATGAATCAGAGACCATGAATCGGTATGCGTTCGAAGTGCGTGACAAGGCTCTCGGGAAAGACCACCCGGATACCCTAACAAGTTCCAACAACCTGGCTTTTGTGTTGCAATACCAAGGAAATTATGGGGAATCAGAGAGGATGCATCGGCGTGCACTGGAGGGACGCGAGAAGGTTCTCGGACCAGACCATCCCGACACCCTAAGGGGCCTCAACCTCCTAGCTATTGTGCTGCGATCCCAAGGAAAGCACGGAGAATCGGAGACGATGCATCGGCGTGCACTGGAGGGACGCGAGAGAGTTCTCCGACCAGACCACCCCGACACCCTAAAAAGCCTCAACAACCTGGCTGTTGTGCTGCGATACCAAGGAAAGTACATAGAATCAGAAACCATGCATCGGCGTGCACTGGAAGGACACGAGAAGGTTCTCGGACCAGACCACCCTGACACCCTACTAAGCCTCGACAACTTGGCTGTTGTGCTGGAATACCAAGGAAAGCACGCTGAAGTAGAGGCGATGAGGCAGGGTACCAGGCTGAGGCAGCCAAAAACCCCGGACAAGGCATAGCGGCAACCTGCAGACTATGTTGGTCTCGATTTTCCGGCGCGATCTTCCGCCAGCGCGGTGCCCGGCGGGGCAGTTCATCGTGTTGGGTGCGGTTTCTCTCCGCTGGGGGCGCCATACGTGGGCTGCCGATTCCCACTGGTGTGGGAGGCTATTGGGATCTACCGCGATCAATGGAACAATATGTGGAACTAGAATTCCATCTGAGAGGCAGTGGCGGACTATTGAATTGTTTGTTACAAGGGATACTTGTCTATGGAAAAAGTGGGGGCATTTTACCCTTTTATTTTCTGTGGCCCATGCTCTCGGTCAGCTGTGTGTTTGTTTGTTTTCATAGCGAATTATCTCCTTTTGCCCTATCGCCCTCTGATATCGAGGCAGCTACCCTTTGCCCGGCCGAATCATAAGAGGTCACTCCTGTGCCAATTGCGTCATCTGTAGTCCCACAAATTTGTAGGTGCGAAGGCACGATCAGAGGTGCCCCCGGAACCCCGGACCCTTGTTGTCGGCATCATTCCCAATATGTATTTTGCAACCTTACGTTCCAAGTCGCTAAGACTACCAGAGCAAGGTTCCTGTGTCCTCCCTGCTTCCACCAGCGGCCCAGGGCCAGATCCCTACTTCGACCGGTCAGACCATCAATTGCAACCTGTGCACTTCCTGCTCTCAGGACTGAAGGAGTGCTTTGCCATGCACGCTATAAACCAGACAAGACCCTAAGAACTGTCTACCCGTACAGCCCGGCCATGCCGCCGTGACCCCGGGTAAAGTGAGATCGGTTAGAGCCAATTAATTTACCCGCATTGCATGGGCCCGGAATACCGGTATTTCCCGAACCATACGGTAACGGAATTCTGCTAGCTACTGCCAACCCAACCAACCCTGCCTCCAAAGAAAGGTAATCATTAGTCATGGCGAGCAAGAAACTCCCACTCCGAGTGCTCTAGAGTGTTGAACGTTTACCCTTTTGAACTGCCTACCACATAGGACGAAATAGTTCACGAACAAGCAACACAACTACCGCAACCCGTTTGCAGTGGTTTCACCACTTTACCTTCAGACACATCTTGAGACCGAACCCGTGGATCAACGTCAACCACGTCAGACACTGGCTTGTCTTCAAATGAAACGCAACGAGATCTACCATTACCGAAGAACAAGATCCTCGGTCCCTACCCTTTTCTATCCTTGGCATGAGGGTTCACTATACCCGCGGCTACTCACCTCCCACCTCGGAAGCAATACGGATAGGTACCTGCCAGATCTGGTGGTAGATGGATTGGTTGGAAGGTTCAGCAGGAGGAGGAAACGTGTCAAAGAAGAAAGTTCTACTATGAGAAGCATATAAGGAAGCTGGTTCTTCTCTTTATTCTTTTGGTTTTTCGTTAAGCAGATACTTCAGTCTTTCTCCACATCATCTCCTATCTCTGTGTTCAGTCATTCGTTTCTTAGTCTTTTATATTTTTTTTCTTGAACTTTGTATTCTACAAAGTTATCCATCATCATATCCGTTTGTACCAATAGAAGAGTCTTGTGTTGTTCGGTCATCTAGGATTGGATCCGAGGTGCCCCCTATTAAAAATCACCGGTACTCCACTAGTACTTGATAGCCTAAACCACCTCTATTTATTACGGGTATGCCAGAAGCTTCCGGAGACAGTTTTGTATTGATTTCTTATTTGTAATGCTTATGAGTGTTCTATTTGTATGGGATGGAATGTTCTGGAGGTTCTTTGATATCTCTGTGCAATATAAGATGCCTAGCGGGAGAGGGGTTCTGGAGCATGTGGTTGGAAGGAAGAATGAGATTGGTTGATCGAAGAGGGGTAAAGGTAAGTTAAGAGAAGCTCAGAGAAGGAGCAAGAGGTGGGACTTGGAATGTCATCTCCAGTATAAAGAGGGGATATGATTGCGCGAGGGAAAAAAACAGGTGTGGCAGATAGCAGCAACGAAAGCAGAATTCGGGATATCAGTAACGACAAGAAACTAAAGCATCTCTCGCAGAGCGCACAGAAAGCGAACGATTCCGTAAAATTTACAACACCCCCCACCCCCTTTTTTTATTCAAAATAGAGGTCCAGGAGAAAGCCGCAGACCCGAACCATCCTGCCATGCCCGGCGCCCGTAACCGGCCGTCCTTTTGGGCCGCCTCTGGATGACCGGGCATTTCCGGGGGTTGGCCTGGCCGGCGCCGCCTGTGGTGGGGTGGGGCCTGTGGACGAACAAACAGGCGATGATGGTGGAGGAGAAAGGAACTTCGTTGCTGTTCTCCGGAGCGAACCTCCAAGTTACATATGAGACGCCGAACAAGATATGACTGCTCACTCCAACCTCATGCCATTCAGGCATCCAAACCCTCATCTCCACCCGTGCACACCACACCAAGGATCATCATCACTCAACACACACCATCACATCTCTGGTTGAACATACACTCTCAACACCGCCGATCTCAGTGGTCTTCCGAGTGACAGTACATGATTGCCAAACTTCTTGGTGGTCCCAGGACATATGTACATCGACATAAATTGAACGGGTCACTAGTGTATGTGCCAATAGAGTCTGCACGGAAGTACCTACAATGGGTGATATGTTATCTTCGCCATAATTTCTTATGTGGGTTAGGGTTGGGAACCCGCGGATGCTAACCTTGGTAGAAATCCGGAGTGTAAGCTCATCCACTCGCGTAAATAGTTGTGCTCCCAACCAGACAATCTGGGTAGAAAAGAAAAAAAATCTATTGCTAAATTGCTATAAAGGGTGCATGTTGAGACACGCAGTTGGGGAGATACGAGGACAACGGATTCGAGGTTCGGGACGATACTGAGGTCGTTAGAGACTACAGCTTGGTGATCGTAGAATAATTGTTAACGTGCGGGTAATTGGTGTTTATGCACTGCGAGGGTTAGGAGTAAGTATGTTGGGTGTGATGATACAGTATGAGCTGGTGTAGCGTCAGCACTACTCTCTGCGCTTTGAACCTCGCGGAAAAGCTATTTGATTCCCTTGGTGTGTGTGAAGCTAACTTCAGGTATTTCATTGCATGGGGAGGATGTTGGAACTATCAGTAGGGCGCGGTTGGTGCTTGGGGATATATGCTCGCGTCTGATAACTGCTACCCGTTGGCAAAATACATGCTGGCTAATCTGGATATATCAAAGCCCACCGTCGCCAGTAGGCACTCATAAAGTCTATGTAGGCTTTGGGGAAATCGGGCTTACGAAGCGGGGGTGAGTCTCGCTATGATCTGTCCTGGCCGCCCGGTCTACCTACTATATGGGTTAAGAGAGTAGGCTGAAAGTTAGCCGTTTGCCAACACTGACCACACATACAACTATCGACGGCGGGGGAAAGCATGCTGAAGTGGGGAACCTACGGTGGCACGCACAGGAAGGGGGCAGGAAGGGGCTTGTCGGACTGGAATCACTTTTTGGCTGTTCGCCCCATGGAGGTTGATGCACCCTATCTCGATGACTAAGAAAATGCGCGGAGATTCTGGGTGATTTTCTTAATCAGCACCCGCGACCTAATCGGACATCTTACTTTACCCCTCAACAGCAGCCGCGACTACTGAACACCATCGACCTCTGACTTCACTACAGCATTATGCGAGAACTGGCAGGCATCATTACGTCGGAAAAGGAAGTGCCTATGGTGAAACTTACAATTGCGTCATCAAGCCCTGAGAGGTTTGGCCATGGCCATGAGGAGCTGGATATGGCGTTTTACTGAGCTAAGTTACCGAGACAAGGCAAGGATGAGCTCCTTATTTGAATGTTCCCGTGCCTCGGGCGTCACGCTGATTTAGATAACACGGTATATCACCTACCGGGCCGCCTATCCGTTTCCCACGTCCTACGTTCGCAACCGGCCTTGGACCATAATAGTAATGTATGCTTGCGGATTCGGCTGCGCTCTACACTTCGGTAATAGCCTTATAATATCCTCGGGTTACTTCTATCTAGAAATCTTAATTGGCACGACCGCAGCTTTACCCTCGCCCGTATTACTACCAGCACCCTCCCCCTTTAGGTCAATCCTCCGCATCCGTGGCGTTACTTTGGGTGAACCGCTAATCCTGCGGTAATGGGAGTACGGTGTCTCATGGTCGGGTAGGGAGGACGGATCTAAAGGGCTCAGGAAGTCCCGCCGCTATGCTTGGTGAAGAACAAAAAGGACCAATTCTCGTTCCTTCCTTTTTAATTTAAATGACTTCGCTTATTTTTACGGATACTGTGAATCCGTCTTAGATCCATTCTCGGGTAAGTCTCCCGGCGACCGATCTCTCACATCCCAACACGCCAGTATAGTAGCGAAGTGCCCCGACGTCCTCACTTGGGTACCGGTATGGAGCTGGGCGACCGGACAGTCGGGGATTAGATTACCTGTAGAGGTATTAAAGCTCCTTGCTTGTCCTCAAAACTTTTATGGTGGTGTGGTTCTTTCATTTCCTATGATACTAGCAGGCTTTAACCTCCCTATTCTCCCAGCTGTCCCGGCCTCCCACATCCATATCAGAGTAACAGAATTATCCTAGGTTGTTTTGGCTAGATCTCGCAATCAATTCTTAAGATCCTCGTAATGTTGGTAAAACTTAGGGAAAGACACTAAAGAACGAAGAAGTAACCAGGGGAGACATATATATCTAAACAGCTAACAAGTCCAGAAACTAAAACATAATTACTCCACAAATTCTGAAGAAATACACCCTCCTTCCAAATTATGATCCTCCGTCATCTTCTCGCGATCTAGGACCCTCCGGATATCCCCTTATCCCCCGTGACACCTCAAATCGACTGCCTTGTTCCCAATGCCATAGGGTGTGAGAAGTGAAACAAATCCCCATACCTGGTGTCATTGTTAAACACAAGATGTAGACCTCGCATGCGGGGCATTTTTTTTTACCCGCA